TTCTGACACTATTATTGCAAGAAAATAATCATAAACGAAAGAATGCATTATGATATAAGAATAAATTATTAAATTAACGGTGAGCGAAATGGAATCAAGAACAGGCCCGACAATAACATATGTGCGCATGCGCTCGTGCACTATACAAGTTATGAAATTGAACATTACATAAAAAATTAATAGATGCGTCTATCAGGCCAATGACATTTATTAAATTCAAAAGAGAAAAGTAGTATTTTAACGATTTAATAAAATTTTCAATGAGATATTATTAACAAATTGAATAATATTATTGTGGAATTTAAGATGAAAACGTAATAATTTAATTAGTATACTATCATAATATAAATATATTGATTATGTCAGTTAATGACCAATTAATTGTATCGTTTGGCCTGAAGGACTCTTCTAGGATGATTAATAAGAATGATTACCGAAGAATCGATTACCGCCAGACATAAAAAAATTTCAGAACCTCCGGAAACATGCTCACATGACATCCATATAGTTACTAATTATACCATTATTGATTACCGATTCGAATATCGAGTATGCAACATTTTTAATAAATTATTTTGAAGATTGTTTGATTTGTTTATATTTATCACTTTAATCTATTCTGCATTTCCATTCTTTTCTATTTCTCGTCTATGATTATAATTTATTTAAATTATTAATTTCTTATAAAAAATTAAACTTAATTTTGAACATAATATAAGTAAAAAAAAAAAAAAAAATATACATATGATTAATAAAAATAAGCATTTAGAAGAGAAATATATTACTAACAAATTTAATTTGATAAAATGAATTGATTTTTATGAACTATTTCAATATGTTTCGTTTCAATATAAATAAAAAAATCACGTAAATAATTCTAAATACATTTATCTTTGTTAAAATAAAACTTATTTGCAAAAAAATTATCGTCAAATCACCAACAGTAACATGTGCATATTATATCATTTGTTTTTCGAAATCATCCTAACAATCGAATGTTAATTTGTATTATTAAAAATCAAAATCGTAAAATAAGTGTAAAAAATTAAAACTATATTAAAATAAAGCAATAAATAAATTCAAATATCGCTCAAATAACCGGTATTATCAACTGTCAAATAGATAAAAGGAAAAAATATAAAAAAATTTAAGAATTTAATTAATTTCATTATCACAATGTTTAAATTATTAAATAAATGAGATTAATAGTAATTTATAAATTTAATAATAAAATATAAATATAATTACTTTTTGCGTAGAAAACCCACTTCAAACAGATAACACATCCTGTCACAAAAATTTTCCATAGATAAATGATGTCTCCCGCCAAATATTCAGGAAGCGGCACTTTGATTGGCGTAATTTTTTATCCATAAAATAAATAATATTTTGATTGGTTGAAGCAACGTAGTTCTTTCTCCATAAGATAAATAGCGTTCTTATTGGCTGAAGCATCATGGTATCTTATTCACAAAGTAAGTAGTATTTTGATTGGCTAAAATATAATTTCTTATTCATTCAAAATTATGTAAAAATTAAATTATTATTATATAATATTTCAATTATTATATAATACTATAAAGATATATTTATTAAAAATCTAATAAAAAATAAATTAAATCTAAAAAGATTTTAACGTTAATCAGGAAATCAATATTAAATATAATTAAATTATAACATAAAAAGAATTTAAATAATTTTTAATTTTTAATTTTTTGATATTGCTTTTTAAAAAATTATTTTTATCATTTTAATTTACAATTTATGATGAACAAAGAATTTGTTAATTTTATAAAAGAAACTATTATGTTATTTGTATTATATATATATATATATAAATGACAATATAATCCGATAGTAGCGCCACATACTTTAATTACAAGAAATTTCGGAATGATAAGTTGTACACACGCGCCTACGTGCGCGTTCGGACGGCGTAGTAACTGTGCGTTTCTTATGCGGTTTATTTGTTAACGAATATTTTGATTTATTGACAGAAAAACTCAGTTGAAAATGGAAAACGATAAAAGTACTATGCTTGCAGTTCTGCAGCTACTCAGAAAATATAATCTAAAGGTATTTCGAAGTGGATTTCATCATTAAAACTTTTCTAACCTTAAATATTAATATAAACATCAAAATTTTATTAAAAATCACTGAATATTTTTATATTTTTTTTATAAAATATGTAAAAATATATTATTATTATAATTTAGTAAATGTATATTCATATATATTATATTCTATATAGGGAACGGAAGAACTCTTTAAAAAAGAGGCAAATCTGACAGATATCTCTCCAGATGAAACTCAGCAAACTGATTCTGAAGTGAACAGTGTCCTTTCTGCTTATAAAAGTGAAGGAGATCCTGCTCTTTATGAAAAAGCATATAGCGAACTAAAAAAATTTGTAGAAGGATCTTTAGATATATATAAGGTAAAAATATAAAATATATGAGTTAAATATATTCCATAAAAAATATATTAATATATAAAAAATTAAATCTGTTGTTAAATAATAGCATGAATTGGGTACAATTTTATATCCAGTTTTGGTACATATGTATCTTGAATTAGTTTATAATAATCATTCTGAAGAAGCAAGATTATTATTGGAAAAATTTGGTGGAAATTTGGAAGAATATTATCAAAATGACTTGAAGAGATTATCCAATGTAACAAAACGTGAACAAATGGCTGGAAATGAATTAACTGATACTTTTAAGTAAATATTAATAAATTCAAATTAAATTCAAATTTATATCAATTATATATCAATATGAAATATTCTACAGGTCAAATCAGTTCATAATTAGAATGTCAAGGGATACTCTTTCTATATTAAAACGACATTTACAAGAAAAGAAACATAGTGTATTATTGAATATTATACAAGAACATCTTTATTTTGATATGTATGAAGGAGTAGCTAGAAATAAACAACAGATAGATGCTACATCTGGTGCAGTAGTTGGTGAAGCAACAAGACAAGGTAATATGTTTAAATAAAATATAAAAATTTTCAATAAAAATATTTTTCTAAAATTATTATTTTCATTTCAGATAATAAGGCCAAAGTTTATTATGGACTTTTAAAGGAACCAGACATTCAATGTATGCCTCCAACTGAAGAAGAGGAAGATGATACGGGTGGTGTAGATGGAGATAAACCGAAAAAGAAAAAAGCCAAAAAAGATCCATTATTTTCAAAGAAAACTAAATCAGATCCAAATGCTCCACCTGTTGGAAGGATGCCTCTACCTAACTTGTAAGGAGATTTATTCATATATTTTTTTTATTATACATTTATAAACATAACAAAATCTGATGAAGTATAGAAAAGATGCAGATAAATTGGAAAAAGTAAAAGCATTGAGAGAAGCGTCGAAACGTGTTATACTTGGTCCTGATACATTACCATCTATATGTTTTTATACATTATTGAATGCAGTACATACGTAAGTTTATAAAATATAAAGTTTAATTCAAAGTAAACAAATAGCATATATATAATACAAAACTTAGTGTGACAGCAGCTGAAGTAGCAGAAGATTCAAGTTTACTGGCTATTGGATTCAGTGATTCTTGTATAAAGGTATGGAGCTTAGTTCCACAAAAATTAAGACTGATGAAGACAGGGGAACAATTACAAGATATAGACAGAGAAGCTGGTAATATCAATTTCTATTTAATTAAATCATAAAATATTTATTATATCGTAAATATTAAAATATGTTCATATCGCAATATAGATGATGTACTGGTAAGAATGATGGACGATCGTACAGCGGAAACGTCGAGGTCATTATTCGGACATAATGGTCCTATATACAATTTATCATTCAGTCCAGATAGAAATCTTCTATTATCATCTTCAGAAGATAGTACAGGTAGATTTTAAAATGATAATTATCATGATAATTATACTCAATAGCTATTATATTATGTTTTATTGTAGTAAGATTATGGTCTTTACATACATGGACATGTGTCGTATGCTACAAGGGTCATTTATTCCCCGTCTGGTGTGTAAGATTTTCACCCCATGGTTATTATTTTGCAACTTCTTCTCACGATAAAACCGCTCGACTTTGGGCAACTGATTCTCATCAACCGCTTCGTATATTTGCTGGCCACTACTCAGATGTAGATGTAAGTTTATATTCGTAAATTTCAAATTTATGATAACTGACATAAATATAATAAGAAATTAATTCTTTTTTTTTTTTTTTTTTTT